AAATCTCAGTTGATCCTCATAGCCTCAGTGACAATTACACTATTATTTCTACTTTACAGGTGAGGAGACTGAGGCTCAGAGCAGCCCAGTCACTTTCCCCCAGGCCTCCATGACCACCAGGATGCTGCCCGTCTCCCACTCTGTTTGAAGGAGGGGAGGGAGGAGACGGCTGCGTGGGGCCCACCCTCGGGGCAGGCTGGTAACCTGCGCAAGAGCCAGGGCCACACAGCTTTCAGCAGCTGCAGCTCCAACCAGGTCTGTCTGAACCCAACCACTGTACCAGCTGTACCAACCACTCACACCAAACTGATTTTATTTTGTATCTGAGTTGTGCGCTGTATCTTTTCCTTATAAATTCGTGACAGACATGTACAGAATCTTCAAGTTCCTTTACTGTCTCAGAGCCTCAAGAATTTTTTTTTTTTTAGGAAAATTGTTGGATCTCGTAGATCCACAGTCATGTGGAGGAGGCTTAACCTCTGCTCCCTTTCCTGGGAAGGGAGAGGGTCTCAGCCATCCCCAGGCTGTCACTCAGCATGTCCACAAACATCAGCGGAGTCATGATCAAGCACAAGGCCCGACACCAGGTGCCACCTGAGCCCTGAGGTCTGAGGGGGCAGAAGAATTAAACATGAGGTATAAATAAGGTGTGGCCAAGGAGAAAGGTCAGATGACAACGCAGGAAAGTAGGCAAAGCACCTCGAGAAGCAGCTCCCTGGGGGGCATCATGATGGAAGGAGGGCCTGACAGTTGCCAGGGCAACCTGCCCTCGGACAAGACCCTCCGTCTCTGGGGGTCCCTGTGAAGTGGCCAAGGGCACACGCCTGCGACTGAAGGAGGAGAGCTGGGGCCCTCTGGGCCTGGCTCTGATCTCCTCACACGCGCTTCGTCCTCACCCTTGGGTCCTGGGTGACGAGGTGTGTCTAAGCACATACTCACTTGTACTGGGACTGGTCATTGCCACCAACATCTGGGGATGTCAACTTCTGCAGTAAAATTCGTATAATGCTAACAAAAAGGATGAAATTGACCTGCACAAAGAGAGATGACACATTTGTGTGTGATGCCCCCTGGAAAGGAGGCCGGGATGTCTGTGGCTGAGCCTCACCAGTTTCAGCAGGGCCAGGGCCCAGCACAGCTGCCTGCCGCCCCCCAACCCCGAGAGCGGGACAGTGTCCCCTGCAGTGTCACATACACTCTGGCCCTGGGCTGCGGCGGCTAAGTAAACTGACTTTGAGATGTGCAACGGACAGACCGAAACCTGGTTCAGCTCAGAGGCTGCACACTTGGTCCTCCCGACGGTGATTCCCC